TGTCGGCGCTTTCACTTTTCCTGCCCATTGTTCAGCTCTGGAGTCGTTGCAAACGCTTCCTTATGGCAACGCAGCTGATATCACAGGAGAGCCAGGGCACATGTCCAGCTGCATCCCCAGCCTGGCGCCAATGCCCTGGCTGTGCCCCGTCCCCATACACACCCCAACCTGGCACCAGGGGGCGCTGTGCTGCTGGGGGTGCTGCCCCCAGTGCCCTGTCTGTGCCCTGTCCCCATTCACACTCCAACCTGGCAGCAGGGGGCGCTGTGCTGCTGGGATGCTGCCCCCACTGCCCTGGTCATGTCCCTTCTCCTCCATAATCACTGGGGGCCCATCTCAGGATCGGGCCCGTGGGCCTAGCCGCAGCATTTGGTGCTCGTCTCTCTTTACTGTCGGCCTCTCTCGCTCCAGCGAAGCATGAACCCCTGGGGCCGGGGCTGGTTTGTGGAGCAGCAGGGTCAGCGCCAGTTCCCACCCCCACCCCCCGGAATCCAGGCCCACCGGGGAAACTGATCCCCTTGGCATGAAACTGTCCCTGGAAAAACCCCGGGGCCGACTGGGGCAGGAGGGGGTTTGAGGAACTCCACAGAATGACAATCGCAATCAGGAAACCTGCCCCCGACTGGACACGGGGCCCGGGGCACCCGGCCTCTAACCTCCCTCTGGGGAGAGCCCTGCTGCTGGGGCCTGACCCCCAATACCGTGGGGAGGAGGCTGGGGGGATGTGGGGGTGCAGGAGATGGGGTGTATTTGAGCAGTTGGTGGGGGGGTCAGCGTACACTTGGGGGGTACCAGCGGTTGGGGTGTATTGATGGGGGGTCCAAAGTGGGGTTAGGTTGTGCCAGAGCTGCCCAGCACTGCAGAGTATTTTAGGGCAGGGGACTGTGACCCGCAGCCCCCCGCTATCCCAGCCCTGTCCCCCAACTTTGCTGATACCCCTCAGTCCTGACTCACAGGTCCCTGGTATCCCAGCCCAACGCCCCACAGCTGGACATTCCCCCGCATCCCATCCCCCAGCTGATCTCACCCGCCGGTTCCTATTCCTTCTGGGGCAATGTTTCCATGAGGTCTCTGGTGCCTGCCCAGGAGATGGCCAGGATATCCCCACAGTGACACAATCCCCCGGGCTCCAGCCACGGGTCCTCAGCATCTGACCTGAACCACCCCCCACATCCCAAAGGGCACGACCCTGCCAAGCAGGAGGCAGCCTGTGGGGTGAGAGCAGGCTGGGGGGTCAGGACTCCTGGGTTCTAGTCTCAGCTTTAGGAGGGAAGTGAGGTCTAGTGCAGAGGTGGGCAAACTCCCGACCATCCTGCCTGGCCCCTGAGCTCCTGGCTAGGGAGGCTAGCCCCCGGCCCCTCCCCTGCTGTCCCTAGCCCCCGGCCCCTCCCCTGATGTCCCCTTTCCCCTGCAGTGACGCCACCATGCGCGCAGCGTGGCTGGCTCTGGCCGGGCGGTGGGGCTGCGAGCTCCTGCTGCTCTGAGCGGCATGGTAAGGGGGCAGGGAGGGGGGTTGGATAAGGGGCAGGGGGCCCCTGGGGCAGTCAGAGGACAGAGAGCAGGGTGCAGTTGGATGGGGCGGAGGTTGGGGGGGCGGTCAGGGGAGGGAAACGGGGGGGGGTTGGATAGGGGGTGGGGTCCTGCGGGGGCGGTTGGGGCGGAGGGTCCCGGGAGGGGGCGGTCAGGGGACAAGAAGCAGGGGGGGTTGGATGGGTCAGGAGTTCTGAGGGGGGCAGTTAGGGGGCCGGAAGTGGGAGGGGACGGATAGGGGCAGAGGCCAGGCTGTTTGGGGAGGCACAGCCTTCCCTACCCAGCCCTCCATAAAGTTTCACACCCCGATGTGGCCCTTGGGCCAAAAAGTTTGCCCACCCCGGTTTAGTGGTTAGAGCAGGGGGACTTGGCATCAGGACTCGTGGGTTCTAGTCCCTTCTTTACCATCCCTCTCTCCTCATGAAGAGCATCACACTGGATAGCATCATTGCCCCATATCAATATCACAGCCCTTTCCAAATCCTGTGAAACTCTTGTCTTTCCCACTCTCCTGTGGCAGGGAGTTCCCCGGGTTAACAACACTGGCTGAAGGGATTTACAGGTAATGGTGGGGGTGAGTGCAGGTCTTGAGCTCCCAGCCAAGCACAGATCTGCCCCGGGATGTCTCTGCACTGGGGGGGCTGTTCCCGGGACTTGGATGGGCTTTGGATCTGGCCCCAGCTGGGCTGGAATGTCGGCAGCTCTTCAGCTGTTGCGCTCCAAGGGGAAAAGCAGCCCCCGGCTGCCCGACCCTGCTAATCTGGGCTCTGCACCGTGCTGGGGCTGCGTTCCAGGGGGCACGAGGGGTGACAACAGGGGTGTATGGGGGGGCAGCACAGACAGGAGCAGTGGTAGCATGGGGTGGAGATAAGCTTGGGGCTGGGGGCCGGGCTGGTACGGGCCCTGCTGGGTCATTCCTGGGGGCATCTCAGGGGATGCGTCCAGGGGTAGGGGTGTCTCTGGTCCAAAGAAGGGTCCCCCGGGCCTGAGGAGTTTAGAACAGTGTCTGTGGTATGTCAGATTGGATGGGAGCCCAGCACGTTGGTCTCCAAAGCAGATATCCTCATATACACCAAACCCCTCCCTCCCAGCCAACCTCCCTCAATCCCCTACACACCCCTCTATCCACTCACCCCCCCCCCGCCTTCCCCACCACCCTCCAGCCCCACGCACACCTGTCCAGCCCACTGCACCATCCCGTCTTCAGGTGTTCCTCAGGCACCTCTCCCTCTGGTCTCCCCCAGTGCTAACCCCAGGAAGGGGGGCTCCTTCTGCCCCCCCGCTCTGCACCTCGAGACTTGGGCAGACACCCGCTGTAGCAGCCCCCGGGGCGCCCCGATTGCCCCATGTCGCTGTATGGTCTGGGGCAGCTGTGTAAAGGGGAACCAAATCCATGCCCCGCCCCCGCGAGCCCCCCCTGGGATGGGGGCTCAGCCCAGACCGGGGTCTGTCATTTAGTGGGAGCCCCTGGTTAAAATATTGCCTGGACCTGCCTGTCAGCTGCCCCCCTTTTCTGACACCCCCATGGCTCCCCTTCCCCTGAGCTCTCCCCCTCCCATCTCCCCCACACACAACCCTCCCCTCCCCCGATCCCGCTGTCCTCCCCCCCCGCCTGATCGCCAACCCCAGCCCTGTCTGCTAAGCAGAGAATAACTCCCCCCCTCTGATCCCAGCCTTCCAGGGCGGGGCCCCCTGCCCGCCATAGAGCCGGCCCTGCTCGAGGGCACTGCCCTTTGGCTGCAGATCGGTGCTCGCTGCTCGCTGGACTCCCTCGCCCCGCAGCATGGACCCGGCTCGCCGCCTGCTGCCCCTGGTGAGCCCCCCGATCCCGGCCCCGCCCCTGGCTCCACCATGTGCTCGGCCCGGGCTCCTGCTTCCCGGGCACGTTGCTAAGCTCGGTTCCCCAGGTGTAAATCAGGGGGAGTGACTCTGGTGTCGCTCCGCCGTGGCTGCTGGCGGGCTCTGGCCCCCGGTAGAGCTGGGATCCCCGCGGGCTGGGCTCCGAGTCCAGGGGCTGGAGCAGAGCTGGGGCCCGTGGGGGATGGGCCCGATTCTGACGCCACTTACTGTGGTGTAAATCCCTGGGGGCGGGGCCCCTGTTGGTGAATTTTGCTGCCTGGGCTCCAGGGGAGTGACGCTCATTGACACCCGCTGCCTTTACAGTGCTGTGACCGAGTGAGGGCAGGATCGGGCCCAGCCAGTGCCGGCGGGGGCTGATTCTCCCCTCCTCTGCTGGAAATCTGGAGCAACTGGGCCCGATTCTGCTTCCACAAGTTTCCCCTTGTGTGACTCCAGTGGAGTGACTCCTGGATCCCGTGCTGGTGTGAATGGGATCAGGACACTTGTGTCTGGCGGGGCAGGGATCTGCTGGGCTGTCCAGGGCAATAGAGGATTGTGCTCTATGTCCGGCTGGGCTGGGCTCGTCTCTGACACCCTGGGGAGCAGCGTGTTACTGGGGGGAGGGTCACAGGTTGTCCTATCCTGGCTTGTACTCCAGAGAGAGATGGTCCTTCTTTGACAGAGAAGCCAGTGTGGTGGTATATCCAGGCTCCTGGCAAGATGGTTCTGGTGCTGGGGAGTGAACCCAGGAGTCCTGGATCCCAACTCCCCTCCTCTAACCCACCAGACCCCACTCCCCTCTCCCTGCTGGGAATAGAAGCCAGGTGTCCTGACAACCAACCCCCCCAGCTCTAAGTACTAGACCCTGTTCCCTCAGGCTACAGAAGCAGGGTTTGGTAACTGATTTCCCCTGCTGTCCGGGGTGTATCAGCTATAACACAAGCAATTGAGAGGCACTGGGACCAGGTTTGAAAGCCTTTTGGGGACCCTTTTGGGGTGATCAGGCCTTGCATTTCCCCCAGGGGGGAATCGTTGGGTATGAGGCCCTATCAGAGCAGGGGGTGGGGGTGCTGGTGTTGTCTGTCGGCTGCCCCTCCGAACCCTCAGATGAGTCCTGAGTGGTTAATGACAGTGCAGAAGGCTGGATGCAATTGCCTGCATGTGTCCTGGCTCTGCCCCTCTCTGGGCCTGATCCTGCCCCTATAGGAGACAAGGCCAAGTCTACCTCTTGCCTGCAGTGTCAGCGCATCGCAGATGGAGGTGCCCCAAATGCCCCCCCCCCCTTCCCAGCTATTCTGGTCACGGGTCATCCTGGGTCCAGTCAACTCCCCTTCCAAGCTGCATCCAGACTTGATCTGATCCTTGGGGGCAGGGGAAGTTCCAGGGTCACCTTCTGTGACGAACTGGGACTGTTCTTGCTGGGGTGTGTGAATGCCGACAGGCGAGTGTGGCTAGGATGGTCTGCATCGGGGGAGGGGAGTCTGCCCGAGGGAACATACCTGAGCTTGTAACATGAGAACCCAGGGAGGGGTTGGAGGCCAGGTGACTCCGAGGCCCGGGAAACTGAACAAAGGCTGTGGGAGGGGTCGCTGAAGCCAGAGTGCTGGAAGCAGGCTGGAAGGAGGCTGGAGAGATGGCTGGGAGGCAGAGATCGCTCTGACCCCCCAAAGGGGGGTGGGCTGGAATGCCATGGGACCCCAAGCTGGACTTAACTGAGGGGGTCCTGTTGTCTGCGCCTGCAAGACCTGTCTTGGACTGTATTCCTGTCATCCAAATAAACCTTCGGCTTTACTGGCTGGCTAAGAGTCATGGTGAATCGCAGGAAGCCGGGGGTGCAGGGCCCTGAGTCCCCCAATACTCCGTGACACCTTCCCCACCCCCACTGGCCACTGATGCATCCGCAGTCGCGTCCCCTTTGGGCTGTGGGTGGTTCTGGAGCGTGGGATCCACCTCGGAGCTGGGAGCTGCAGCATCAGGAGCTGGGTGCCTGGTGTCCTGGGGTTCAGAGGAGGCTGGATGGGGAGGGGGCGGGTTGGAATGTGGGTCGGGGTCCTTTGCTTTGGAGTCTTCGAAGTCTTCGGCTTCCGTATGAGGAGAGATTAATAAGACTGGGACTTTTCAGCTTGGAAAAGAGACAGCTAAGGGGAGATATGATTGAGGTCTATAAAATCATGACTGGTGTAGAGAAAGTAGATAAGGAAGTGTTGTTTACTACTTCTCATAACACAAGAACTAGGGGTCACCAAATGAAATTAATAGACAGCAGGTTGAAAACAAAAAAAGGAAGTATTTCTTCACACAACGCACACTCAACCTGTGGAACTCCTTGCCAGAGGATGTGGTGAAGGCCAAGACCATAACAGGGTTCAAAAAAGAACTAGATACATTCATGGAGGTCCATCAATGGCTATTACCCAGGATGGGCAGGGATGCTGTCTCTAGCCTCTGTTTGCCAGAAGCTGGGAATGGGCAACAGGGGGTGGATCACTTGGTGATTACCTGTTCTGTTCGTTCCCTCTGGGGCACCTGGCACTGGCCACTGTCGGCAGACAGGACACTGGGCTAGATGAACCTTTGGTCTGACCCAGTAGGGCCGTTCTTATGTTCTTATGTCTTTCACTTAAAGGAGCATTTGCTTGGCACAGGTGCCAACTTTTGTTGGCGTTGGTGGGTGCTCGCCCCCACCACCCCCAACTCTGCCCTGATTCCACCTCCTCCCTGCCCCATTGGATCCCTCCCCAAATCCCCGCCCTGGCCCCGCCTCTTCCCCAAGCGTGCTGCATTCCTCCTCCTTCCTCCTCCCTCCCAGGCTTGCGCGAATCAGCTGTTTGGCGGCGCAAGCGCTGGGAGGGAGGGGGGAGAGGAAGGATGCGGCAGCCCGCTCACGGGAGGTGGAGGTGGAGCGGAGGCGGGGCGGGGCAGGGTGGGTCAAGGAGCTGCCGGTGGGTGCTCAGCACCCACCAATTTTTTCCTGTGGGTGCTCCAGGCCTGGAGTACCCACGGAGTCGGCGCCCTATGTTGCCTGGC